TTCACTCTCGTTACCCAGGCTGGAGTGCAATGGCGCGATCTCGGCTCACCGCAACCTCCGCCTCCTGGGTTCAGGCAAATTCTCCTGCCTCAGCCTCCTGAGTAGCTGGGATTACAGGCACACGCCACCATGCCCAGCTGAATTTTTGTATTTGTAGTAGAGACGGGGTTTCACCATGTTGACCAGGATGGTCTTGATCTCTTGACCTCGTGATCCACCCACCTCGGCCTCCCAAAGTGCTGGGATTACAGGCTTGAGCCACCGCGCCCGGCCAGAATATCCTCTTTGTCATCACAAAACCAGATGTCTACAAGAGCCCTGCTTCAGATACCTACATAGTGTTTGGGGAAGCCAAGATCGAAGATTTATCTCGGCAAGCACAACTAGCAGCTGCTGAGAAATTCAAAGTTCAAGGTGAAGCTGTCTCAAACATTCAAGAAAACACACAGACTCCAACTGTACAAGAGGACAGTAAAGAGGAAGAGGTCGATGAAACAGGTGTAGAAGTTAAAGACATAGAATTGGTCATGTCACAAGCAAATGTGTCGAGAGCAAAGGCAGTCCAAGCCCTGAAGAACAACAGTAATGATATTGTAAATGCTATTATGGAATTAACAATGTAACCATCTGAAAGCAACTTTTTTTGGTGTCTCAAAGGAGTACTGCAGCTTGGTTTGAAATTTGTACTGTTTCTATCATAAATAAAGTTATGGCTTCTTGTTGGAAAAAAAAAAAAAAAAAGCAGAAAGAGCACATTGGTTTTTGGCCGTAAAGGAGAAGTGAGGGTCTAGGAATGGAGACTAGGAATGAACATGAAGCAACTGCATAATCAGCAAATGTAGCAAATATTTAGATTATTTCATTTCAGCAATTCCAATCTCTTTCTAAGCCAGAAGACAATAAACTATATTTTCCAGACTCCCTTGCAGCTAGGGTTTCATGTATATGATTTAGATCATATCCATCAGATGCAGCATACCAAATTTGGAAAGCAGAAGTAAACAGTTGTAAGGCAAGAACTGTGTTTTTGCTGTTCATACGAATAAGCACAGTGGTGGTTCTTTTGTTTTTTCTATGACAGCTGTAACAGGTCCTAAGTCCCAGCCCTATATTCATAGTTGTCAAGAGGTAAGACACACGTCATGGTAGTGAGATGGAGCAGGGACCCCCAAGTGTGGAAATAAAGGAAAACCTTGAGTTCCTTTAAGGGTAATTTCAGGCACCTGAATAGAGCGTAGAAGCAAATGAGCAACTTGATAAGCAAGAATGTAATCATCGCTTAAAACAATAGCCAAAGAAGTTAGAATCATAAGAATGTTTGGTTCCCTGTAGAATCTAAAAATAACCTTTTTTCTTTTTTTAGATGGAGTCTCACTCTGTCCCCCAGGCTGGAGTACAATGGTGCAATCTCGGCTCACTGCAACTTCTGCCTCCTGGGTTCAAGTGATTCTCCTGCCTTAGCCTCCCAAGTAGCTGGGATTACAGACACCTGCCACCATGCCCAGCTAATTTTTGTATTTTTAGTAGGGATGGGTTTTACCATGTTGGCCAGGCTGCTCTCAAAATCCTGATCTCGTGATCCACCCACCTCAGCCTCCCAAAATCCTGGGATTATAGGCATGAGCTACTGCACCTGGTCAAAATTACCTCTTAACGTATGTCCCTCAGTTGTTATTTAGAAACCTGAAACCCCACCAAATGGATCCACTGGCATATAGACCTCAGTCAGGTAAGGGGGAACTGAGGACTGATCTCTGACCCTGTTCCTTGTTTCAAATTTCTTCCTGAGGGGCCTGGAGGAGGTCACACCCACAAACAAGCCAGAGCTAGCATTCTTTACAGCTGATTCCAAATTTTTAGATGAAGCTTCGCCTCCTTAACCAATTGCAAATCAGAAAATCTTTGAATTCACCTATGAGCCTCGGACCCTCTTTGAGATGTCCCACCTTTTTAGGTCAAACCAGTGTATAGCCCAGGAGCCAACATGTGAGGGAAGAAGCCTTTGGGTGATCTAGCCTCCAGCTCTTGGAGTCACCCTAGCTGAGATGCCCGACATCACGGAGCAGAGATGAGCCATCCTCTCTGTGCACAGTCCAAATTCTTGACCCAGACAATCCATGAGCACAGTGAAATGGCTGACATTTTACTCCACTAAGTATAGGGAGTTTTGCTATATAGCAATAGGGAATCAAGACATCCATTTTCCATATTATCTGATGATTATCTTTTACCAACACCAAGCAGCTCGTATTTATTTTTACCTTGCTCAAAAAAACCTTAAATGGTTCCCCATTGAATATGGAATTCATTATACATTGTTTATAGGCTTGCATTCACGATCCTGCTCAGTTTAGAATCTTACTTCCTTATCTTTCACTTTAACCCGCTACCCACTTTCTTTTTTTTTTTTTTTTTTTTTTTTTTT